GAGCAATAAGACATTTACTTTTGGGAGAAGTTTGTGTATCCAAATTAGTTTAGAAAGAAAGTTTTTAAATCATAATCCATAAAGGTTGAATAAGATTTTATTGGATTTGGTTTAATTAAATTTTTTGGAATTGGTTTAAATAAGAAGATTTGTTGGATTTGCATTGAAGAAAAGATTTATTTGAATATGATTTGAAGGAAGATTTGTTTTAGATATAGTTTACTCAAGATTGTGAATAAATTGGATATGCAAAGATATTGAGTGAAAATTCATTCCATGAAGATATTAGTTAGATGTGTTTTTATTACAAGATTTAGATTTGCATTTAATGAGAAAATATACCGTCTCTATTAAAGATGATTTAAAATGTGGTTCAGTTTTTGCAAGAGATTTATTTTGTATCATTTAATTGGGAAGTTAGAATTGTACTCCCCCCGGTCTCATTTATAAGAAAAAATTAACTTTTTAGATACATTAAATAAGTAATGTATTTGGACAATATATTGTCCAAATACATTACTTATTTAATGTATCTAAAAAGTTAACTTTTTCTTATAAATGAGACCAGAGGGAGTAGTTTATATCAAGTAAATATTTTATTTGATTTGTTCAAGATTCAAAATCTTGTTACGTGGACAGATGTCAAGTCAATTGTTCCATGATCTTTGAGACATCTATCTTGTGCTGTTACTTGGAAAGAAAAATAAGTTGAAGTTTTATCTTGTCCTTTTATGATTTGTTTCCTTTTCTATTATATCAGAGATATAAATGTGCTAGATTGAGCTTAAATTTGGAAAAAAGATATTATTTTAGCTAGATTGTATGGGGAATTCTTAAATTGTATAAATCAAGAATCTCAATATTCCCAATAAATATTTGATTGATCCTTTGTGTTTTAGAGGATATGGTTTAAATCAAATGCAAGAAGATTAATCAAGAGATTCTGATTTATTCAAGGTGGTCAATCAAGATAAGAAATCATCATTATTGAAGATTGATCTCACGTGCTTTTTAGAAGTCAAACTGAATTCATGACCTAAATCCTTATGGGCTTTTAGAGATGGACTTTTGTGGATATATAAGGAGTTCATATCCTTTGTGAAGACTTATAGCTTTAGAGAAAAATATACTTTATAAGAGAGTTTTAGTTGAGTCTTGTCTTTGAGTTTTTGTTGTAATACTTTGTTCATAGATACTAATTCTATAAGCTTGAGAACAAAGTATTTGTGTTTTTAATTGTTCCATCTTTTCAATCATATTGTAATTGTCCAAACACATAAAGAGCCTTTTATTGAAAGTGAGAGAGGTCTCTTATTCAGGGGGAGCCTCAACAGATATTCATGAGCAGTATCAAAAAATTGGCCTTGAACTAGGAGATTTCAGAGTAAGCCCATTTTTCCTTCAGAATATTAGGAGTTGATTCGTTCTATATGGAGTTATGAATAGAAATTCACAAGTAATATTAGGAAGAAAGGCATTGAACAATGTTTTTTCATCTAAGACTATTTGTATTTTTATTATTAAGAGTAAATTTCCTTTCTTAGAATGAAGTCCACTCAAACGTATATGATATTGCATTAAACTAGGTTAACAAAATTCTTGTGTTATTTTTATTCTGCCACTATTCTGTTTGTTACGTAAGTACATTGTCATGCACATTGTGTTTGACATATGTCTGCCTTAAGGACATAATTTAAATGGTGATTAACTTGAAGATATCTCAAGCCTCATCTAATAAAATATTCAAGGTTTCATTGAAGTGCTTATATGATCAGTGTATCTGACAAACGATCTTAAAAGCTTCAGAGTTGCAAAAGAGATGAAGTGTGAAGCTTACCTTATCGTGTATGTTTGAGAGACTAGATTCTTGTGAAAGTAGGAGAGTAACTCCTAATATACTAAGACGCCTCTCTCTCCCCCACTTAAAAGATAATTTTAAACCTTTTTTTACATATCAAAATCACCTAAAATGTTTTCAAGGCCTAACCTGTTGATTAGGGAACTGTGTGCTTAACTAGGATAATTTTTTCAGCTATCTAATTAATTAGATCATTAACCTAATCGATTAGATGGTTCCTAATCGAGTATATAATCGATTATGATAATGTCAATGATTGATAATGATTCTTTATCCAAACTTTCTAAAATGGGCATAAATAATCGATTATTTATGGTACCTAATTGATTAGACTTAGGACATAATCAATTAGGTGAGTTAATTGGCCTATGTATTGTTTCCTTTGTGGAACAATTCTTCTCTTATATAAAAGGGTGTCTCTTCTCTCCATTTCACATCACATTTTGAGACTTCTCTAATTTTTTGCAATTTCTCTCTCTCTCTCTCTCTCTCTCTCTCTCTCTCTCTCTCTCTCTCTCTCTCTCTCTCTCTCTATCTATCTATCTATCTATCTATCTATCTATCTATCTATCTATCTCTTTCTAAATTTTTTTCTTTTCACCAAAGTTGCCTTAGTGTCTTGTGAGTGAAAATTGTCTGTGAAGAAAAAATTATATTAGTGTCGGGCCATTGTTAATACTTTCAAGAGTACGATACTCTTGAAAAATCAAGTTTGGTTCTTGAGATTAACTAGTCTTAAAATCTGTGTTTGGTTCTAGAACTTTGCCTAGAAAATTTTTGTTTGGTTATTGAGATCAACCTGTAAAATCTTTAATCAGTTTGTTAGTTTATCCAACGGAAAAGCTATCTTTTGGTTGGAGATAAACCATTGTAAAATCTTGAGATTCATTTGTATCAAAGATTCATGGGCATAACCTGTAAAAGCTCAATATCATAGTAAAATCTCAAGAAGATCTCTTGGGGACAGAAGTAGGCCAATGTTCGGCCAAACCTGGATAAATTGTTGGTGCCATCTCTCTAACCGCTATCTTTTATTTTCTATCATTTATCTTACTGCATTCACTTTGCCACTTTTCACTGTGATTTTAATACTAACATAATTTAACTTTTAAGTAACTAAAATTTAAGTTTAATCACAAATTTTGAATACCACAATTCACACCCCTCTTGTGCTTGAAGTCACTTATCCAAAGCATATATAAAAGACTTCTTTGGCCTGGATCAGAGAACAATATGAGTAGTTTCTCCTTCATTCGGTCAAAGATGCAGGAGTAGAAAAACTTACTTATTCCTTCAATCTTGGAGGAGATGGCTCTTTCCCTTCACTTGATTGATTCTACGTACGCCAGACACCCTATCAGTTGATTCAAGAGGAAATGTGGTTTAGTTAGGGCGATAGACCCATGCCTAATAACGCAACTTGTCAAGCATTTCAACTGACCTGTGACATGACGCTCGCCTAATATTGATGTAACAAATTCGACATATGTTCTTTTAGGCTATTCTTTCGGAGGCATAATAAAATCATCTCAGTACTAAAATAAATACATTTATTGGAATTAATTTTTAAATTTTATAAATAAACAAAATACAAAAAAAATTAAATAAGTGATTGAAATTTAAAATAAAAAAATTTGAAAAAATCCGTTGACAATGTTCAATATAGAATTTATATTTTTAATAATCAAGAGTAAATAAATAGTTATATCTAATATGTTAAAAAAATTAAATTCATATATTTTTTTATTGTAAATACAAATTATTTTGAAATATTTGATTTTAATAAATTAATTATTAGTATTATGATTTTTTATATATTACTATATATATAAATATATTTTATAAGAATATATAAATAATTCTTTTGATCATATCATGATTTCTAATCTAACTTATATTTAATTTTAAATTTTAACTAAAACAATATAATATAAAAATATATAATTAATTAATTATATTATTTTATAAAATATTAAATTGAAATATCATATAATAAAACTATTATATTCCATCTTTTATTTTGGCTACAAATAAACTCTAAAAGTGAAATGATTTTTTATACACATCAAATCACATTTTAATATCAGACTGATACTATGATGTATTTAGATGATGTAACTATTTGTCCATGCATTGCACTTCTTGTGACTTGCATAATGCTATTTAAAATTTGGGTCATGCAAACTAGGCTAACCCGTGTCTTTAGGACACTCTTATTCTTTATAAAAATTAATAATTTTAAATTCCAATGCATATAAAAAAATCATTTTAAACATTTAAAGAGTATGTTTGAATTTTCACCTTTAAACCATAAACCATAGTTAACCATACTTATATATTTTTATAACATACAAAAAACACAAATATGAATGTACCTATTTCCATTTCCAACAATTTTCTTCATCCATAGCTATCTAGTACACACAACTACAAAGATATAAAACAACAAAAAAGGAATCGTGGGATTGTAATCTCGTGACTCCAAAGGACAAGAAAGTAATCACACATCGTTTCCATAGTATTAGCGGGAAGAAACTAACATGCTTTCTCTCTCTACAATACTCTTTATCTCTCTTCCCACTATGCATAGTGGAACCTCAACTAAACTCGTAGAAATATTGGATAACATAACGCCACCATGCATTTCCACAAACTTTTCATTCATTCTCTCTCCGCGTATTTACCATTCCAATAATACCCTTTTTCCTTTAGTCGGCAGTTTCTTTTGTTGTCGTCCTAGGAACAAAACTACAAATAAACAACACCATTGAAAAAAAATAAACATATTTTTTTTCAACCTTTGCAAAGTGTCAAGCCACACTTGTTTTCTTTGTATTTTATGTGAAAACAACTATAACAAAAGGAGGTGCTTGTTGTTGTTGTTGGTGGGTGCGTAGGATAAGCTTCAAAATTGGGTTAACGTTAAGGGAGAATAGAATAGAATAGAAACAAGAAATGACAAGATTTTTAAGATTATTGTGCTTTTATTAACCAACCCATTTAGTTGTATATGTTACATATTAAAATATAAATGGTTTTTTTTGTGACCCTTTAGCTTCATTACTCTTTGTATTAATTTGTGTTGAATACCCACTTGAGAATTCTCGTAAAGTTGCATGCTTTTGTAATTGGGGGAGCTTTCATGGAGGCCAATTTTGGATGTTGCTTCTTCTTGTTGGTTTTGTTGGTTCCTTTCACTTGTGCTGGCAGAGCCGTCATGAGCACCACCACCGGCAGCGGTGATGGTTCAATTCAGAAGCTTGATGTTCAGAAGCATTTGAAGAATTTGAACAGGCCACCGGTTAAGTCCATCAAGGTAGAGAGCTTTTTTCTTTTTTCATAGCTTTCTGTTTGCTTTTTACTCTGCCACTTTTTCATTGATTGCATAACGGTTTTTTTATTTATTTTAATTTTAATCTTTCTAATTGGGATTTGTAAAAAATGAAACTTTTTGGGTTTTAAAGAAACTTTAATCCTTGGGAGTTGGGGGGTTTGTTTAGTCCTTTTCACTAGAATAATGAACAATTACCTATTGTTCTTGTTCTTTCAATTTAGAACAGAATCTTAGTATGTTTTTTTAGTAGTGTTAGTGTCACTCTTTTGTAGATTTTGCAATGAATTGTAATTGATTTAGAATTTCGATTTCGAGAAGTGTAGTTGTAACTTTTGTGTTTTTCACATTTTGGATTTGTGAAAGCAGAGTCCTGATGGAGATATTATTGATTGTGTACATGTTTCACATCAACCAGCTTTTGATCATCCTGACCTCAAAAATCACAAGATTCAGGTGAATTCAGAATTCTCAACTTTGTAAGCTTAGCTTTCATTTGTTGTATCTTGTTAATTTGAATTTGAAGCAATTGTGGTTTGTGATGCAGATGAGGCCGAATTTCCATCCGGAAGGGAACACTTTTGGAGAAAGCAAAGTTTCTTTGAATTCAAAGCCTATAACTCAGCTTTGGCACAAAAGTGGGAGGTGTTCTGAAGGTACAATTCCTATAAGAAGGACTAAAAAGGATGATATATTAAGAGCTAGCTCTGTACAAAGTTTCGGAAAGAAGAAGCTAAAAAGTACCCCTCAGCCAAAACCAGCAAAACCGCTACCCGACCTCTTCACTCAGAGTGGTCATCAGGTACTTCAGCTTCCATGGTTACTTATAATGCACCTACTGGCAACAAGTTCATGGTCAGGGCCGTCTTAAGTTTTTCGAGGCCCAGTGTAGGTTAGTCATGGTTCAACTGTGAAAAAACAATAATAGACCCTATTTTGCCACGGTTAGGCCCTATTTAGGCATGGTTTAATCATGACAAATAGTAGACCCTGTGCGGTAGCCCGCCCTCGAAAATGGTCCTGTATATGTAACAAACTTCACAAACACATAGCATGGAAATGCTTTTGTTGTTATTTTTCTCCTGATTTATTGTATTTGTTTTATTCCTTTTGATTTTTATTTTCTTGGAGCAATTAGCATGCCATAGCATATGTAGATGGGGGTAATTTCTATGGAGCAAAGGCTACCATAAACGTTTGGGACCCGAAAATTCAACAACCTAATGAATTCAGCCTGTCTCAAATTTGGATTTTGGCCGGTTCTTTTAATCAAGATCTCAACAGCATCGAAGCAGGCTGGCAGGTACATTATAATTTAAAATTTGTATCTTTTGTCATCTTCTGTCAAACTTCCGTTAAAGCTGAATCCATCGGTAGTATCTGAATTTCAACCCACGCAGAAACAATCATTGACCAAACTTTACTTCCTGGTTAAGTTATTTCAAACGGAAAGATATGATATATCACTTGTTCTAATTTCAAATTTCGGTCTTTTCTATTCTTGCAATGATTAGGTCAGCCCTGATTTGTATGGTGACAATAACACTAGACTCTTCACTTATTGGACAGTAAGTTCCCAATTCTATCATCTCATTTGTACTTTCTTATAGTTAATACTCTCTCTGGTTACTATTATAAGTAAATATTCTTTTTTCGCATTCATTGAATAATCAACGTATTTGGTCTATATGGAAGCGATATATCGGTCGGTGTATTAACATAAAAGACGAATCTTTGCTTATAAATTTATAGTAGTGACCAGAGGGAGGATAGTGTATAGTTTCTCATTCATTTCGTGAAGTTGTTTCATTACTGTAACAGAGTGATGCATATCAAGCAACTGGTTGTTATAATCTTCTTTGCTCTGGATTTATTCAAATTAACAATGATATAGCCCTTGGTGCAAGTATATCCCCACTTTCTAACTATGGTTCTTCCCAATATGATATAAGTCTCCTTGTGTGGAAGGTACATTTCTTTTATCTTTTTATAACCTTATCTTTTGTATTGGACATGATTGAAAGAAAATATGCCCCACATTTAACAAACACTTCAATTATTTTAGAGTATTATTGTTTTGTACAGGCACACCATTTAGTTTTGAATTAAGAGAATCTCTGACACATCACACATAGCTCATTGTATTTGAAAGTTTATATGAGTGTGTACCTTTGTGTTTGTGTGCACCAATTCACTACAACCAAAGTTCAACGAAATGATAATAACTACTAGAAACTCGCACACAAACCGTGAGGTTCAGGTCAAACCCTGGTGTAGGCGTTCAACCTAGTAATATCAGCTTTTTGTCAGTTGAGTTAGGATTTGCTGAAGACTGTGTTTGTACCTTTACATGATGAGGATTATTAGTTTCTTAAAAGTCACATGATATCATGTTTTTCATGAATTTAAAATGTATCAATGCCATCTAATATTGCCAATTTGGAAACAAAAACTAATGTGTAGGACCCAAAAGAGGGAAACTGGTGGATGCAATTTGGGAATGACCATGTTCTTGGATACTGGCCAGCTCCTTTATTCTCTTACTTAACAGAGAGTGCTTCAATGATTGAATGGGGAGGTGAAGTAGTGAACTCTGAATCTGATGGACAACACACCTCAACACAAATGGGAAGCGGACATTTCCCCGACGAAGGTTTCGGCAAAGCTAGTTATTTCAAGAACATTCAAGTTGTTGATGGTGACAACAAGTTAAGAGCTCCAAAAGATCTTGGTACTTACACTGAAAAAGAAAACTGCTATAATGTCAAAACCGGTAGTGCTGGGGATTGGGGTACCTACTTCTATTATGGCGGTCCGGGTCGAAACCCTAATTGTCAGTGATCATTTATGTTAAAATCATGGTTTTAAATTGCGGTCAGGTTTTTGTTACAATACAAATTACTATATTCTTCAAAGATGCATCAAAATTGTGGTTGCAATATTGTTGCGGAAACCTCGTAATTTTTTATATTACGACCGCAATTTAAAACCATGATTAACTAGTGTTGTTTTGAATTGGTCTAGTGTAGCTAGTAACTTGTGGTATCCTTAGATAATACTGGTGTATAAGGTCAAAAATCTCATTTGAGGTCTCCAAAAATTGTTGGAGAAAAGGGGTGATGGGTTTGTTAGATTGACAAGAAAAATGTTTCTTGATTGTTTTCCATGTCTATATAAATATGTATATTGTCTGCTCCTTTCTTTGGAGCTGTGAATGTGAAAAGAATATTCTCTAATAAGAGCATTAATTTATGATTTTGGTCTTGTGAGTTTTGACACTTTTTAATTAGTTGAAGAAACTAAAGGTGGAAACAAAAAATGAGATGCATGCACATGGGAAAAAAACAGGATTGGACCTAGGCCTAATTGAGTCACATCAAAACTTATGGTATGAATTAAAGTATTGTGATTGGTGGAGGGTAATGTGGTTCACGAGCAAACCACTTATTGGGTGGATGTAGGGATCAGAAGATAGCACTTGCACATATGGATAATTTTTAATATATAAAGTGGCAAAGTATATTTAAATCATATGTGTGCTATTTTTCAAATACATATTTACTATTTTCTTTTATTCATGCGCGAGTCTTATGAGAGATGTGGTGTTATTATAAAAAAAGAAAATAATGTGAAACTTTGTTTTGTATATATATGCTTTTAACAAAGACAATAATTTTTGATGATAACTAATATCTATGATAATTAATGTCTTTTGACAAGTCAGACGATTAAATGAATAAAGTGCAAACTTAAGTATTAGGGTTTGATGGATTTGACTATTCGATGATGACAATTAAATGAAATATAAATTCAAGTCTCATCTCAAGTGAACTCAAGCAAATGTCTACGAGAAAGAAAATATCTGACAAAGTCTTGAAGTACAAGAAAGCTCTACCTTAATTAGTCTGAGGGAATACTTTGTAAAACATAAGGGTGTTCTCGTAAAGGTGCATGGCAAAATCACACACACATACAAAAGTATTTTTAAAATTGATTTTTCTCAAGAAAATATATTCAAAAGGGTTAAATATACAAATCCCCTGCAATATTAGGGAGTTTTGTTTTTAACCCCTGTAAAAAAAATCCAATCCCCCTTATTCCATCAGTAACATTCCCAAATGTCACATGTCTTCAAAGATTCACCTATGTTTTCCATCATGACTTTTGTTTATAATTTTTTTCACAGTTGCTAACAATTGCAAGTGACAGCATGGCATAATTTCGTTTCTTCTTCTTCTTTGATGAGTCTAGGGTTTGTTTCCCCTTTCTCTCTTCATCAGACGAACGCAAAAATTTCCAAATTTCTTTATCTATCCGTCTGCTGTCAGTGTCAGGGTTCATTGTTTCAATCATGGGTGGAAGCAAAATATCATTCATCGGTAATTCAGTTGGACGGGGCTTGCCAACATGTGGCTGTAACGAAGCAATAAAGATGTGGGTATCAAACACCATCGGTAACCATAAGCAAAAATTATGGAAATGTAGAAATTCATTGATAAGTGTTTGTTCATGTTTCTAATCGTATTTCTATTTTCAGTAACTCTTATGTATGTCTTAATCATATTTGCAGAGTGGATGTGGATTTTTCATGTGAGACGATGAGGTTTGTGAGGTTCAAAGGAATGAAATGACTCTCTCAAAATGTTGTGAGTGTGAAATGATTAAGGTTTATTTGAGAAAATTTGTGAAGGATATTGTTAAGGAGATTGAATGTGGAGTTGCCAAAAATTATGGTGTAGAAGATAGTCCAATGAAGATTGAAAAATTGAAGAAAAAAATTATTAAGGAGAAGAAAATAAACTATTGTTTTCATGGATGTTGTTTTCAATAGTGTTCAAGTTAATATAATGGAAAGGTCTATAAGTTTGAATCAATATGTTATTAAGTTTTCAATAGTGTTGAAGTTAATGTAATGAAAGATTATCTAATGGATATGTTATAGCACTTTTTGTATCACTATTTTGTATCAAATATTTTGTATCAAATATTTATCTAATGGAAAGGTTTTTAAGTTTCAATAAAGATTCTCTCTAACTGCCTACGTGGCAGTTCACATGGTATTTTTTATTTCCCCGTCATATTTTATGGTATTTTTTATTTCCAGGTCATATTTCATTTTCTATAAGTTTTTATTATGACCAAAGTTTTTTATTTTTTTTATGAAATTATATTTATAAACTAATTATTAAAATATTGTTGTTGGCTTAAATCCAAAGATCTTTTCATAAGCACATTACTTGATGTTTTAATTAATGTTGTATAAAACAAGTATATAAACTCTTAAATTTTATGAAAATATTTCGATGTGGGACTCTAAGAGCATCTCTAATGGGGGTTGATTAATGCACACTAGGATTTATAAGTTCTTTAACTTAGTATTTTTATCATTGGAGTAGATACATGTGGCGTTCCCGTTGCTTAAATATTTGTGTAAGTTGCTTCATGAAGTAATCCAAAAAATGTGTTGCTTAGCATTAAATAATATTAATTTTGATGAATAGTGGGGCCAAATATAAATTGATTGGACCATATATAGATTTCTTATTAAATCACCATTGGAGGAAAATTGATTTAGATTGCTTAGATGTTGCTTAAATACAATATGGTAATTTGGTCCCACATAAATAGCTCAAGCAATCAAAATTAGTTTTCCACGTTAAAGATGCTTTAACTAACACTGAAACTCATTGTTGTTCCATCCTCCACCTCGTCTCATTTTCTCAAACCGGTAACTCACGTCCACAACATATCTCAATCATCATCACCTTCTCATAACAGCCACCACAACATACGTCTCTCCATTATATGGGTATCGAATCTCCACCCAACTCACCTCCTTCTACCTCAAACAACATCACTTTTCTTCTCTTTCTAACATCACTTTTCTTGGTTGAGTATTTTTCTTGTCTGAGTATTTGTTGTGTTTCTTTCATTAATTGTATGTGTTTCAATTGCATGTCTGAGTATTTGTTGTGTTGCTTTCAAATATTTTCATCATAATAATTTCAGCTTATTTTTTATGTTGATAGAGAAGTTTTATAAATTTCATAACATACATTTTATAACCATGCTTAAAAAATTTGGTTGGTAAATAAGGGAGGGAGAAAAAAGATAAACACTATACAATTTCAATTTATATGGTTTCTAGTTTCCAATGTTATTCCATCATTGATACTTTCGTGTGCATCATTAGCAAAAGAGGACGTCAAATTTACTTCACGATAACAACACAATACACCAGTCATGCTCGTAACACGCATTTAGAATCATGTTCCATACAATAACACATATCTATTTCACAGCGGAATAATTCTTATTTCAAAATAATACTAATGATTAAAATCTCATACTAACAATCATATAATAAAACATTAGGCTCTAAAGGTCACCATCACATAATCTCGTATACAACATAAATAATCAGAGAGTATAACAAACATTTCTCAAAACAAACATGAATACAACAATACAACACGAATCCAAACGTTCCTCGTGTTACATAGACCAGAGCATGACTCACTACCTAATAAAACGGATAAACAAGAATCTAGCTCCTCCGACTAATCCTTGCTAGAAGCACCACCACTATCTTCGGTACCTGAGCGATATTGTATAAAACATTATTTCAACAGAAGGGTGAGAATACACATCATTATAGAAATATATAATAATAAGTAATGCAAATCATACATACATCAACAGAATTCATCATACTTTACATAATCATGTATTCAACATTATCTAGTCCAATTCACATGATTACATATACAACATTGCTTAACAATTCAAGATTCAAAATAATCAATCACAAATACCACATTGTAACATTCACACTAATATCACATATTGCACACCAATTCAATATTTCACATCGACACATGTGACTCTAATGCGACTCAATGAAATATTCATGTGGTACCAATTATTATCCTTACCGATCCTGCCGTGTCCATCTCTCAGACAGATAACCACCAAACACTATGCAAAAACTGCTTTTAGGCAGCACACCTTAGACAATGCTTCTCTACCAAAGCGTTGCTACATGTCCTGATAAAATTTTAAATTTTAAAACCATATACATTAGACAACGCTTTAGGAAAAAACGCTGCCTAAAGTTAAGAAAAAGTGTTTCCTAAGCCACACTTTAGGTAGTGCTTCCTGAAAGTGCTACCTAAGGTCAATTAAAATTGAAATAAAAATAAATAAATTCTAGAAAGCACTGTCTAAATTCAAAGCACGGCTATAGGTCCAACAGTAAAAAGCGCTGCCATAGGCCCAAAGCGCTGCTAAAGCCACACTTTAGGCAACACTTTCTACTACAAAATTTGTTTTAGGCAGTGCACTATAGACGGTACTTTTTTCCCAAAGCGCTGCTATAACTTTAAAAAAAGTGAGAAAAAACGCTGCTAAAGAATTACTTTAGAAAGCGCTTATAAAAAGTGTTGCTTAAGGCCATACATACCCACACTTTAGAAAGTGCTTCTAGAAAGTGCTGCTAAAGGATGTGTTTAGAAAGCGCTTCATACAAGCGCTGCTATAGGCCATACATCAGAAAGCGCTTTTTTTTTAATGAAAAAGCGCTGCTAAAGGAAATACATCAGAAAGTGCTTCAAGAAGCGCTGTATAAGGTCATTAATTTTTAATTTCTAAATTAAAAATACGAAAACCCTAAAACTCAGATATTCTCTCAAAACATCTTTCTCTGTAACTCTCGAATCTCTTCACGTTACTTCCCTTCAACCTTCAACCTTCGCGTTACCGAAATCTCTTCGATCAGCTCCAGACTGCACAAACTTCTCCACCTCTCTAGCTCTTAAATAATTAACACCTTTTCCTTTGTG